GGCAGAGCTGCGCCGCCTGGCCCGGCGGGTTTCATGCCCTGCAGCCTGGGGAATATGCTTGGGTCCCTGGGCTGCCATCGGTCCCTGCCCGCACCGAGACGGGACCTGCTTTTCATCTCGGAGCAGGTCTAAAATAACCGAGGCCACCGGGAAGAGCCAGGAACAGAGATATCAAAATCCCCGTGGAGAAGGTGCACGCAGCTCTGCACATGCCCTGAGCTCAGTGTGGGGAGCTGTGGGTTTGGGATCCCCAGGCATCGAGGGTGAAGGCAGAGCCGGTAAAATTGCCACTGCCGGGACAGCCTCAAGTCCTGTCCATAAAACAAGCGTGTCATGCTCTGCACTTCCCAGGTACTTGCAGCTCTTTGTATAGCTGTGGGGCCAGGAGACCTACAGGCTCCTACAGCTCCATCCCACGGGTGAGTGGAGGGCATGACCCTGCAGACCACGGCATGCTGTGGATGCCTCTGGACACCCCAGGATGATGTGAGACGGGGGGTGCTGGAGACATGGCAGTGCAGGACAGGCACAAGGCAGTACCCATGCCCTGCTATGACTGTCCCAATTTGTGTTCCCCCTGGCTGGAAGATGGCTTGGTGATGTTAGGCAGGTGCCGCACCATCAAGTTTGGGACGTGTGGACAAAATGGTTGAGCTGCTCCTCTCCTTGGTGGCCTGCCTTCACCCACTGCCTCCTGTGACCCTTAGACCTCTGGCTTCTCCCTCTTTGCTTCCTCCTCTGCTGGCTCCCCACATCACCCGGCTGAGATGGGATGGCCGAGCAAGCTAGCGGTTAGGACACTCTGTGGGCAGCATCTTTCTGGCTCCTTTTCCCATGGCTGTTGGGGATGAACTTGGCAGATGAGGGATCAAAACCTGATCTTGCTACAAGAGTCAGTCAGTCTCGCCTGGTGCTTGGCCCCATGGTGTTCCCTGTGTGTCCTTCTGCAGTGGCCCAGTTCCAAAAGGAAAGACCTCTCAGGGGACCCTAATTGGCTCAGCAGGGCTCTGCAGCTTCTCCAGCTCTCGCCTCCCTCCCTGCCCACATTTACCAGACTTGTTTTGAAAAGTCATTGCAACATAGAGAGACAGAAACAGCCTAACGCGGGTTTACCAAGGGGTCTGGCATCTTCTTAAACAGGGCCCTGCTGCTGAAGTTAACGAGCGTCCGCAGAGGCGTGTCTGTGTGTGCACCTTGTGCCAGTTCAGTGGCATGGGTTTGGGCCAGTTGGCTGGCAGTGGGATGTGAGGAACACCAATGCTGGGCATTAGAGTGCTACTATTGAAGTGCTATTGTGGCAGTTGTGCTGAAACTCTTGATATCCTTGTCTGCCAGCACATTCCTACCGTCTTTCTAGTCCTTCATGGAATAAGCACTGATATGAAAAAAAAATGTGTCTCCTCACACTCCTGTTTTGGGGCTAAGTGAAAGCAGACAGCGACAGTTTTTCTCCCTTGTGATAGGGATGGTGAGGCAGTGGCACTGCCCACCCAGCTCCTCACTCGCCCTGAAACCTGGGCAGCAGCATGCCGGCACCTGGGGGACAAACACGTTTTGTTCTGTGGGATTGGAGCTGCTGAGCTCCTTCTGGGGAGCAGCTAGGAGACTTTCTGGGTGCGCGAATGCGAGTTCATTAGCGTGTCCTCACTGCAGGCACAGCGGCCGTGGGCTGCGAGACAGTCTCTTGCAGTGACGCAGTCCCAGTGGGTGCACACATTACGGAGAGTGCGTGCACACATGTGCCTGTGTTCTTTACGGACTGAATTTGTCAGCCAGACAATCTAGGACTAGGTCCCTAAAAGGTACCTAATATATGTAAAGTAGCAAAGAGAATTCCCCCATATGGTATAATTTTGTCTGAACTGCAGTAGAGTATCACAATGGATGCCCCCAACAAGACAGTATTAATATTCTCCAATACGTGCTGGCCTCTGCTGCAGACCCTGTGTACCTTGCAAAGCCCAGTGGGGCTCTCAGTGCACTTGACAGTCATTATGCCACATCCACATGCAGAGATAATCCCTCCTTAGTTGGGCATTTTTCTAATTTAGTGAGAAATCATTACAGCAAATGCTCAGAGTGTCATTTTCAAGGACTCTGGGGTTGGACAAATTAAAGTCATTTTGCTGTGGGAAGAGATTTTGATTTTTATCCTGAAGCGAATGTCATAACACGCCAATTTTCAACTTTCTCTCTCTAGCCATTTTGATGGCAGGTTTCTGAAAGTTCCTTAAGCATTTTAGCAACTAAAATGCCCAGTCTCCTCTGATTGTGACGGGAACCACATCTGCAATTCCATAAAGAGACTTTGAATATTTTCCAGCATATACTTTTTTGACCATATTTCTATCTAGAAGTTGAATTATTTCTGCCCTAGCATGCAAAGAGGAGACTCTTTGGGTGCTATTGACGCTTTAAGGACTGTGTCCCAGAGTAAAGGTGGCTATCCTGGCAGGGGAAGGAGGACGACGCTGGTGTTCGGGGCTCCCCTTTCCATCCGTTGGCATTGCTGAGTGTTGGTGTCCCACACTCCATCCCATCACGTACGCAGCCACTCTCCCTTCACCAGTCCAGGCACAAAATGTGAACATGAGAAATGATGCATACCTGGAAAAAACAAAGGTTTGGAATGAAGAAGCTTTTCAACACTAAATACCTGTGTACTTAGAGCTATCATAATATTAATTTGCATTATTTGGCTTTTATATTTCTAATTTAGTGAGAAATCATTACAGCAAATGCTCAGAGTGTCATTTTCAAGGACTCTGGGGTTGGACAAATTAAAGTCATTTTGCTGTGGGAAGAGATTTTGATTTTTATCCCGAGACCTCACTTCATTCCACAAAAAGGCTGCATCAAATATATTTATGGTTGAAAGTATGTATTGGTATTTTAAGGGTTGTTGCTCTTAACCACAAAACTAATATTATTAATCCAGGAATTTCATAATTCAGTTTATCTGCAGCTAATGTATTTACACAGTGTCAACTCTGAGCTGGCCCCATGGATCTAGAACAGTGTTTGGAGTAAACAGACTGTTTCTGCTTTGAAATAGCATTACATCAGGTGTAGCTGGGTGTTTCTTTCACTCTTGTTTACTTGGAATGAATCTTACCTATGAATTTACTGGGGTAACAAGGCTTCATTTTTAATCCTTAAGTTCCTGAGAGACGCTCTGAAATTTGATTCAGTAATGATGATATCATTTTGTCTGTGAATGCAATTACTTTCAAATAGAGGTTGGTGTTAACTAAAGACTCCAAATAAAAATGTTTTTGCATGATATTCCTAACAATTTGAAGACATGTACATCAAAAGTAATTATCTCTCAATTACATTAATTTTGAAAGTGTTTTTGCTATGAACACAAAGTACTCATTTATCAGGATGTAATTATGCAAGATCAGGAGATCTCCCAGGATACTGACACTGATGATGACAGCAAATGGCTGGGCCTATTGCTTAATGTGGCTGTAGCTAGACAGGAGTGACTGCCT